CTCTACTCTCTCTCTCTCTCTCTCTCTCTCTCTCTCTCTCTCTCTCTCTCTCTCTCTCTCTCTCTCTTTCTATTTCTCTCTCTAAATAAATCAAACTTAAAGGGGAACTTGAGTCTTTCCACAAAAAAAAACAACTTAAAAAGTACACTAGTGTGTTTACGGCCAACAAAAGATATGCAGAATAGAACATATGATTTCTGCAGTAATGATGCTACCAAAATACAGATAAATTATGTCAAGAGTTTGTTGAGAATTGAATCTTAGGAGTGTTGGACTAATATGTACTGCATAAACCTCGAAATCGCTGAGTGCATGAGATGCAAATAATTAATATATATAACCATGTCACTAGTATTTAGCAAAAGGGCCATCAACACTGCAAAAGAGAGTAAATCTCCAAGGGAATAGATAAACAAAGGCACATAAAGTAAATTAAAAGAAACAAATTTAAAGAGTAACTAAAATGAATCAAATGCTTTATTATCTTCTGTGAAGACATGGTCTTCATTTTATAAATTGAACTACATAACAAGGAAATTATAATTGGCACAAACATGATACGTGACCTGAGTTGCAAATCTTGGCCTTGAGAAAAACTAAGGTTGAAATAGTGACAAGAACAAAGAACAAAAATATTGCTTCATGTAAGCCTTACGTGCAATCACTCAGCCACAATGCACATGAGAGTAGCTCAATCAACCTAAAATAGAAACCTAGAAAGTAAAATGGAGGATAGAATCACTAAAAATAACTTACAAAACAGACACCTATGGAGGATAGAATCAAACAATAAAACGAAAAGCAATTCAGAAAAGACTTAAAAGTGAAAATGGCATCTTAAAAGGTGTAAGAAGCACTAAGAAATGAGAGCATCCATAGAAACAAGATCAAGGTAGACAACAGTGTGAAACAAATATACAAAATATGCATAAAGATTTACCATAATTTTTTCAACAAATAGTTGCATCATGAAAGTTCAAAAGCCAATAGCAAGTGACTCCCAAAAGGGTATTATGAACCAATTGTTGTTAACATTTTTTCCTTATGTATATATTACAAGATGCACTAGTTGTTACCACATATGCACAAGGCACACAGGGGACTCGAAACCCTATCATATGAGAAAGCTACCTGGATATATAATGTACAATTAAAGGCCAAACTGGCTGAAGTACTTACTGTTAGTGCAAGAAGCTGAACCTTAGAATTTTTATGCCCAATACGTTTCTTGAGGACCTTAACAACATCTTTAGCTTGCCTGATAACAAAATTTAAGAAAGAATTAAATCAAAATTGGAAAAGTGAATAATGCATGCAAATGGAGTAGTCCATCATCATATGAGAAAACACATGTTCATTTTTTTTTAAAATAATTGTTTGTAAAAATAATATTTTTTAAGAATAATTGTCTCAACTCTTTTTCTTCCCTCTCCTTTGTAAGAGAAGGAAAAGATACAAAGTCCCAAGCACATGATACGTGAAACCCATTCTGATATCCCCCCTAGTGTCACAAGTGATGACTAGTGGTGGATCAGCTGAGGCGACCACAGGCAGCAGTCATCCTCTAACGTCAATGGTGAAGACTAGTGGCAGATCAGCAGGGGGGCGATGGGAGGTGGTCATCAAGAACACCATGTAGGCTTCCTCCTCCTCCTCCCCCTGGCAGATCGGAGGAGGCAATGGCAAGCAAGGGTATGGGATCGGAACATTACCCCAATCAGCACATTACAGAATTTGAAACCTCAGTCAAAAGCCCTATAGATATCTTCCATTTATTCTAATCCTGATAATCTCTTTCTATAAACCATTAGGTTCATTCCAAAGTTCTGAGTTTCAGTAGTGCCACTGTCTGGAATGACAACCAGACTTTGACCTTAAGGAGTGGACTTCTAAAGCAAAAGAAAGGATTTAGAAAAGAACCACAGTAACAAGCAGTCACTGCATCCAAATTTTGTGGAAATACAGTTCCAATTCTTCCATATCATTTCTCACAGATGCCACCGTAAACAATTCTGGAAAAGAATTATTAAAGATCACCCTTCATAAAATGCCATACTGATCATTTTCCCATTTCATAGTCCATCTATGGCATCAGTGGTGTTGATCTTGCATCTGAACTAATAACACGTATCTTGTAGCCCTCCATTGGCGACTTTCATTGCTGAACTTCAAAATTGTCGTATTGGATACTACCCAAGCTTTAGATGATTCAGTTCCTCAGAACGTCATCCAAAACAATACTCCTGATCTAGAGATAAGATAAACTAGTAAACTAGTTCATCGAAGTTTCCCACCTTGCCAACCAGGGTAAGAATTTCGTACCGTTAGTCCTTATGTTTCACGGATGTCAACTCAAAGACCATGTTTACGCCCCAGTTTCACCGAATAAACAACCAAGTCAAACAAAAGCAAGACTAAGTTTCCATTCGCATGTGACAACAATCAAATTCAGAACACCAAATGACAAAACAAATGCAACAGTAGAAAGCAACTCCGATGCTTAATAAACAAACGAAAGAAAGGAAAGGAAGAAGGCACAGTAGAATCACATACCCCGGGTCGTGATTGAGGATATCACAGATCTCGAGGTTCATCGCCCAGTCGGGGCCGATCAGCATATCGCTCGTGGCTCGATCCACCAGCGCGCCGGCCATCGCCGCGACCCCGGAACCCTAAGGAACCAATCGAACGAATACAAAAACGGGATCGTTCCGTGGAGATCCGACCGGGTTCAGGCGAATACGACAGGAGGTGCTCCTCCCCGGGCAATCGAAACCGGAGTAATCGAAGGCCGGAGAGGCGGAGACGGGGAATCCCTAAACGAGGAGAAGCGTGTGCGCCAACCCCGAATTCCCTTTCCCCTCCTTACCTGTCACCAGAGAGAGGAGTCGCGGATTCTTTCTATTTTTTTTTTTGGGAGAGAAAAAATAAATGCTTTTTTTTCCTTCCTTATATACAAAATGCAATAATAATAATAATAATAATAATAATAATAAATGATCAGAAGAGAGGATGGTTTTGCGCCGTGATCGCCTGCCATGGCGAGACATCAGCCAGGAAAGTGAGGGGGACCCACCAGGTTCGACCGGGGCTATTGATACTAGTGATCATCAAAATAGTATTTTTCTCATCTACGGTTAGACTTAGCCATCTTGAGATTGAAATAAATATGGACTATTGATGGGCTACATATGAAAGATTTCAAAAATGTTGAAGAATGAGTCACGAGTAATCACAAATGATTTAATTAAAATTCTTGATAGGCATTTGCTATTTCAATTACACAAAATTGTTTAGGGTGTTCATATCAAGTGTTTGTCAGCTTAGAAATCACGTATTTTTAGTTATGAATTTTAGTATATAAAATATCTTTAATATATGCCATTACTTACGTCCATCCAAAACTTCACGTTATTATACTTCTACCGTACATATTATCTTCTACCTTACATATTATCCTTATAGTTTATTACATTTAGTATCTCGATTTGTATGCTTTAAAAAGTTATATTGATATCTTATATGTCTATTTATCTTAACGATATTAGTTTTACGAACGAAAATATAAAATTAAAGGGTAAAAATATATTTTTAATATTTCATTTTAAGTAATAGACGACGATATTATTGGTGTCGATGTCGACATAATTGCCGAACAGCCCTTTCGTCACTCTACATCTGTGTCGACGCTCTATCATTGCAGAATCAAAGTTCACTACCGAAGTCGTCGTGGAGATTCGTCACCTATCAAAATAGGACCTAGAGATGCATTCCTCTCTCATCGATGCTAGCATCGTGTCCCTCCTTACCACCCGCCTCCTCAACCACCACCACCATCATTCGTCCGCAACCAAGGCTAAGGAGGACATTGTTACTGATCTCCTTAACCTCTTCATCTCTGCCCATGAGGTGCTCATGTGCACCCCGAGCATCCTCGACTCCCTCAATGTCGCCCTCGACCTCTTCTCCCCCGTCGTCGTAACCCTTTACAGCCTCCTTTCCATCGAAGCATACCGCTCCATCATTGGGTCAAAGAAGCCACTCGTCATCGCCCTCATGGACCTCCTTGGCACCCCTCCTAGCACACCAACTAGGTCCATCAAGGATGTGCTTAAGGCCCTCTTCAACTTGATCCTCTACCTTCTCAACAGCATTGCCCTTATTGAGTCGGGCATCATGTTGCCCCTCTTCATGCTGGTGGTGAAGGATAGGTGGAGGGTGGTGGTGGAGGATGAGATGGTGGTAATCGCATAGGTGACAAGATGCGATGATAGCATAAAGTCATTCCGAAGGGTGGACAACATTAGTGTCCTAGTGGATCTAGTGGTTGGGGGGAGTAGAAGGGCGAGGGAAAACGTTGCAGTTACACTATTGAACCTAGTCAAGAGCAATGGAAACAAGACGGTGGGGGATGTCAAGGAGGTGAACGGGGCGAAGGCAACCATGAGAGCTTTGGTCAGTGGCAACAACAGGGTGAGCATGAGGGGGAAGAGTAAGGCAGAGGTGTTATCGAGGGTTCTAGAGAGTGGGTGGGGGAGTGGAGTCAACTCTAGGCTCTTAATGATTCCGAGACCGGTACTGATGACTTCGTACCGCAAATGTTGCTCCGTGATGGAGCCGTAGAGCGCTTTGTCGCTACTTTACATCTGCCACCACTAATGTCATTCGTCACCACCAATTGAAACGTTAAAATTATTTTTTTTCCTTATATTTTCGTGAATTCATTGATAAAATCAACGATGTTAAGATAAATGAACATATATGTTTCACTTTCGTAACTATTGGGATGTCAATGAAACCTTTTAAAGTGTAGGGACCGAGATGTTAAAGGTAGTTAACTACATTGGGTAATATGTAATTAGCCCAATTTATGTTAGTCTATTTGACCTACATAAATATATAAAAATACAAACAACCTAAAATACTCTGAATATTTTTAGCCAAACATAATATAAAATTGTGTGTGTGTGTGT